GATGTGTAGCCCAATAGAACAACAGCAGGACCTGAAAACAGATAGCGGTGTTAATGTCAATTAAATCGTGACTCAGCACCTTGGTAATTCATTGAGGAAGAATTTTTTTTTCAAGAAATGGTGCCAGAATAGCTGAATATTTGATTCAAAAGAAAATAGTCTGACCTTCTGCCTCCCACATAGAGGCAGATGCGGTGTACCTGTTGAGTGACAGCTGCTGCTAGCGCACCCCCAGAACTGTCTCCTGAGATGCAGACTCGACTGGGATCTACTCCATATTTTGAAAGAATTTTATCTTGAAGAAAAAACTTGACTGCAGTGATGCCGTCTTCAAATTGGGCCGGAAAGTGATGCTGAGGAGCCAACCTATAACTTTAAAATAGAGCAATAGAGCACTTAGGTTTGTGACTTGTGACTCTTAAATATCAAACAGATCAGTTTAACACCAGACCCTCAATCTTCACAAAAGCCAAATTGGAGTTTTCTACTAATTCTTGATTAAAAGAAATTTAGTATGAGACCATAATGGTAAGTGAAATAAGTCTGGCACATAAACTCAAATATCACATAGTTTCTCTTGTATGAGAAACCAAAACATAAACAGAGAGCAAAACAAAAGACAGGTGATGGGAAATCAATCTTTTGCAGAAGAGAAGGGGATCAAGAGATGCAGGGAAGGAGCAAGAGGAAGAGGAGGTAAAAAAGAGTTAAGATCGAGTATGTATGGATGGCATGGCCCCAGGAGAAGTGCAGTCCCTAAGCAGTGTAGACAAGTGCTAATAAAAATTTTGAAAAGAAAAGGTATTTCTGTCTTGCATGCAAAGTCCGTAGTTGGCTTTCTGTGGGAGAAATTAGAGAAGGTATTGTGAACTCCCTTGCGGCTACAAACAAAATCGTTAACTCAAGTGCATTTTGATTAGAGGTACTCTGTAGATTGCAACTGCTGATCCAAACACTTTTAAAACTCTTTTTGAAAAGAATCATGATTTTTCTTTTTTTTTTCTTCCAGTACTAGGGATTGAACTCATGACCTTGTGCTTGCCAGGTAGGTGGTTATGCCACTGAGCTAGCTATATTCCAGGATCCATTTCTTTTTCAAACACAATATATCCAAGATTATATTCTAGGCAAGCAACCCGTATTTTTGAAGTTCATTTTGATCAAATTTCTTCTAGCAGGCAATGTATATACTTTATCATAAATAATGTCCATAATTTAGGCCCTGATGGGGCCAGGGGTTCCATCCCCTGGCCTGCCTGCCAGCCCTGCCCCCAGGGCGTGCTGAGACAGTGACTGAGACTGGGTATGATGGCGCTCATCTGTAATCCCAGCACTTGGGAGGCTGTAAACAGGAGGATCACTAAAAGTCTGATCTATGCAGTGAGATCCTGTAGACCCTATACACACTGTCCTAAATACAAAAAAAAAAAAAACCAGAAAAAAAAGTCCACAGCTTGATTCTAGGATAAAATTTTAAAATATCAATATGCTAGAGAGTGTGATTGTTTCTGATAAATTCATTTGTAAGACAAATTATCACCCATTGTTTCAGCAGGTACAAGTGGATCTTCCAAACACCTACGTGGACAACAAAACCAAGAGCATGCCTTTAGGTATTAGCACAAAGGTGTAAAACATGCACAAATGCTATCGCTTTATAAAACAGGTTTAACATGATAGGATTTAGGTCACTTCAAAAGTTGTAGAAATATCCATGACAAGATCTTCTGCCTAATAAAATAAGCACAATGGTTACAGTAGCAATCACTTTCTTCAGATATTTGAGTCTTTAAATTTTTCTATGAATGTTTAACTTCCTAGCTAAAACAAAGCAAAACCCAGAGACTAAGTCATACTAAGTCCTATAAGAATTGCCAGAGTAGAACTTTTTTATTTCTTATTATGAAACAGGGAAAAAGCATAAAAAAGAAATTTTTTGCAGAGGATGACGGGTTTCAGGACCACTTTTGGAGGTCAGAAATTCAGATTATTCCTGCATACATAGGAAAATACTGAACTGTCCTACTATTTCTTGGTATGTCCCAGCAAAATGAAACTACAAGATCCCTTTTCTGAGAATGGATTAAAGTTTTAAGCTGTCTCAATCTTTACCACTTACATCAGTACAAACTAGAGTTGTCCTGAAAGTAGACATTTTTCTACCAGTTCAAATACAATCTAATACCCAACTGTGCAATGGTTACTTTACTCCAGCTCTAGCTTGTAAGGCTCAGCTAGGGCTTTGTAGCGCCAGAATTTAATGTGCCTAGAAGAATTGTGTTTCCCCAAATGCTCACCCTAGTTTGTAACTCAGAAATGTTTATAATCTCAGCAAAATAGTGGGATACTGAACTCTTGTAAAGAACAGTCTATGGCACAACAGTAACAAGCAAACTATATTAATTTTTCAAAATTATATTTATGATATAGATGACTTAAGTTGTAAATCAAACCTCTATGCGTCGGAGGAAAAATTGCTATAGCCAAAGAAAATCATCCTCTTACTCTACTCCTACAACGACAGCATCAAGTTTGTTTGCAGTCCATCGGTTCAGGAAGTCAAACGCCGTCTGCTCTGAAATGAAGAAAGGTCAAAGTACTCCCTATAGTTAAAAAGCAACAGAAACAGTTACAGCTACAAACACAGAAAGAAGCGTAGTTTGGGCGTGACTTAGCAACCTTTATTCCTGCCCATTTCTGCGTAAAGATCTGACCAACAATGTGCTCTGCTCAATTCAATCTTTTCAATCTCTGTCTAGAGATGAAGAAATTGACTGGCCAGATAGCTCAGTGGATCAAAGCACCTGCTTAGGCCGACGCAGGGAACGTGGTTCGACCCCCCCGGCATGTCCTGCAGGGGTGTGCAGGGGCGCACTGAGATGCGATTGAGACTGGGTATGGTGGCACACACCTGTAATCCCAGCTCTCTGCGAGGCTGAAAAACAGGAGGATCACTACGAGTCTGATCTGTGTAGTGAGACCTTGTAGACCCTGTACTAAATACAAAAGAAAAAAAGAAGTCTCATAAAGATGAAGAAATGATTTTACCAATTGATAACATGGAAGGGCAAAAAAAACACATCCCAACCCAGGCTAATTTTTCTCCTGCAACTGCTCTTTGCACACATGGCCCTTCTTAGGTCCCTTACAGCCTGGTGCATTTTACTCTGTTCAGCTCCATGTTCCACACGCTCTATCAACACAGCAAGGCCTGCTGGGTCTCTAGTTCAAGAGTGAGGCATTAACAACACCTTCACCACAAATAGTACTGATTTCACTTTCATTTGCCAAAATCCCATTGATGACTATTCAAGAGAAAAGCAAGAGTTATGTACCATTTTTTTTCTAAAATAATAGTACTCAATAACATGTTTCTTCAAAACTTTTGTTTTTCTCTCAATGTACATCACTTGGAGAAGATCCATTAATGTCAGCGTCAAACAGAGATTAGATTCTCAGGCACTGCTGGCAGGTTGGTGTGCAGACCCGGATGTGCACAACTCCGGGCACGTTGTGACACAGTCCCTGATTCAACCCTGGTACCTGCCCTCCTCCAAGCACACACCTTTCTCCAAACACCCACAGGCTCTATTTTCCAGGGCCCTGGACACTGCCACTTGGCAAATTCTGTGACGTTTTTGTTTTTTATTTTTGCAGTACTAGGGATTGAACTCAGGACCTTGCACTTGCTAGGCAGACTCTTATTCTACTGAGCTAGCTCCTCGACTTACAGTTTAATTTCCTAAAAGACCCTAGAAACTCAGAGAATTTCAGTGTTGTGATGAAACTTAAAATTTCAGGCTTTTCTAAGGCTGGTCTTAAATACTAATAAAATTGTACATTAACATGGTTTAAACACTGGGAGAATGAAAATCCAGAAAACAGAATAGCAAATCATCAAATCTTGAGTACAGAAACATTTTCCTTAAAGATTTAGTTGAAGGGGCCGGGGAGATAGCTCAGTAGAATAAGCACTTGCCTGGCAAGCACAAGAGCCTGAGTTCAATCTCCAGTTCAGAAAGAAAAAAAGAGAAAGAAAGAAAGAAAGAAAGAAAGAAAGAAAGAAAGAAAGAAAGAAAGAAAGAAAGAAAGAAAGAGAGAAAGAGAGAAAGAGAGAAAGAGAGAGAGAAAGATTTAGTTGAGAATTTGCAAGAAAAGGAAATGCATAAATGAAAACCAAAATGCACAAGACATAAGAACCTCCTATTCCCTACATTTAAAACCCCTCACTAATATATTTCAATTCTGTGACTTTATTCATCTCTCAACATTTTTTATTTATCTTTCAACTGAAGAAAAGTAAAATTTTGTGTTCCTCATTCTTATTTTAAACTGTCTCAACTACATTATATTTATTGATATAATCTATATGGTTATAATTTTCTCTATACACTATAACCCAACAGAAACATTCAGTTTTCTCTATTCACTTCCCATTTATAGAATTTATATTGTATTTTGTAGAACCCAAGCAAGAACGAGATTTTAGGATAAATACTTAAAAGCAAGAACCAAAAAATTGTGTAAGCAGTCTAGGACAACATTTTTCTATGATTTCTTGTCTATCAAAGCAAATTTGTCATTTAGGTGAGAGTTGAGACACAGTCTTGCTATGTAGGTCAGGCTGGCTTTGACTCACTGTGTAGCCCAGGCGGGCCTGCAGTTCGTGGGGATCTTCCTGGCTGTCTTCCAAGTGATAAAATCAGAGGTGTGAGCTACCACACCCAGCATCTGTCATATTTCAGAAAAGAAAAACAAGAGAGTGTGTAGAAAAAAAAAAAGAAAGAAAATTCAAATTTGCAATCAGAAAATAGAACCAGAAAAGAACACAGACAGACAGATGTACACATGCGCGCGCACGCACACACACACACACACAAACACACACACACATACACATACACCAAAAAGATAATAAATACTATTTCATCCAATAAAGTGAGTAGTTTGCTTGGGGTAATATGGAAAGTCATACTAAGAAAGCATGCTCTGAGAGAAAAATGAGAATGCGTGACGTGTTCAAAGAACAGAAAGCTACACAGTGTAACTGAACCAGCTGGGAGCCGGCATTGACAAAGGACAGGAAAGTTAAATGGAGTTGGAAAAGGTGAAAATTTCAACATTTTTCATTAAGTGATGAGAGTCATTGAAGAAATTAGAACAAAGAAACATATAGCAGAACTTCATGTTAGAAAGCGCCATCATTAACTACAGGTGAGACGATGTTGAACAGGGAAGAAGGAAAGTAGGGATATTCAGCAGGCGAGCCTCCGAAACATTGTGCAGTACCAGATTATGTAAATGAGTCAAGACAGTAAGATGTAGGATGAGGGAAATATGGCTGATGACGTAAGAGAATGCAAGAGCTTGAGATACTGAGGCAGAGGTGTGTTTTGTTTCTCAGGCTGTTTAGACACCACGAATAGAATTGTGTCTGATGATATTAGCTACAACAGTCTGGTCTATCCAGAGGTACATACAGAGTTGATCATTGCAAACCTGGACGCTACAGAAATGTATAGCAGGAGCCTATAAATTAATGAAAAAGAAAAAAGGATCAGAGAACTAAATATGTAGAGACAAAAATAGAAAGCTTAGAGGGATTTTTTTTTCCCCCAGAATCAGGGAATGAACTCAGGCCCTTGTGCTTGCCAGGCAAGCGCTTATTCTACTGAGCATCTTGCCGGCCCCATATTAGGGAATTATGATGGATGAGAATGCTTAGGAAATTTGTGAATGAGGAAAAAGTGTTATTCTCTTTCTTGGTTGGTTAGTTGGATTTCAAATGGGGGAGAGCGACTGGCAAAAAACAAATGGCAGAAGGAAATCTAAAAAGTAGTTTGTTGTAGAAAACAAAGACAGAAGCAGTGAGTTGAGGGAGAAAAGTGGCCATTTGTCATCCCATGGAATAGAAGGTAAAGCTGAGAAATGACTAAGGTGGAAATCCAAGAAAATAAGGAAGAACTGGAGCAGATGGACGCATAAGACTAAGGAAAGGAGGGGACCATAGTTTTCTCCCACCTCATATCCACCTTGTGATTTTCCATTGGATCAATGTTACCTAAGAAAACATCTTACAATCTTATTAATTGATTGTAGTTTTGTTCCACCTTAGAGCACCTTACCAGATTTTGCTCTATAAACTTCCTTGAGATCCTTTCATCTCTCTTGGACAATAGCTTTTTTTCTCCCAATAAATACAGCTTTCTAATGAATATTTCCTGTCCTTAACCTCCATTATTCCTAGAATTCATTCCTCAATTTTAGAGAACACAACTCAGTGTACTGAACATCTAGCAGCTAGCAGGTTGGGAGATAAAATATTTTCTTTATATTATTTGGAGGTCCTGTATCAACCCTATATTAATTGCACTTGGGAAACTGAGGCAGAGGACCACAGTGAGTTTGAGAACAGCCTGGGTTATGTACTGAGACACCATCTCAAAAACAAAACAAAACTAAACTAAATCAATATGAGGCTGTAAAATTCCCAAAGTTTTCCACTTCCTCTGAAATAGTAATAAGCTTGATATCTAGCAGACTGGGAATGGCTAGGTGGCTGGGTTGATGCAGATTAAGAGATAAAACTGATAAAATACGTGTTCCAAAATTTGTGAACCATACCAGAGATACTGATTGTCAAAAAGAATCTAGAACAGTTTAGTGCCCTTACTATTAAAATCAGCAACAGCTGTGGGCTGTAAGAGACTAACACTAGTAAATGCACTGTGTATCATTATTTTCAAAGTAGTCACTCAGAGTACAAGACAAACCAAAAAGGCTTTTACAAAGTAGAAAAAAATAATAACACAAAATTTTATTTTCAATGATCTAAGATAAACTAATAGTATAAATGAGAGAAAGTGGCATATATATTAAAGACATTTGTAACAGCAAAGCATGTAATTGGTAAGAATCATATGTGAACCTCTCATTATTTTGGGCTTGTCTCTTTTCTATTTTACTGTTTATTATGGTTTTTCTTCTATGAGAAGCACAAACGATGTATAAATATACAAATAAAGACCAACGAGCATAGTAGTAAGCCCTGTAGCTAACCAACAAACACTGTACCCCTGAAATTTGAGTGTCAAAAGGCAGTCTCTTATACAGTGCTAGGAGGCGTGAAAAGCCTTCCTTGTCAGTGAGAATTCACTTTTTCAGGTTTTATTAAAAAATCTTTGCACAAAAACAAATTATGTAGATTCCATAAAGTAGAGAATGAATGCCTGCTTCCTTGTATGTTATAAATTCAC